TCTCTCCTCTATTCTGAACCCAGCCACTAGGGAGATTACATGACCGGAGCACCCGAAGTATGAGCATCTTCCTTCTACAGGGTAGTTCGTATAGGAGTTAGAAGGGGTGGGTGCAGTTTTAGGCTTTGTTAGAGTCTGGAATGCTTCTTGAATAAGTATACATTTTTCAACGTTTTAAGTACAAATCAAGCTCGGCTGTATCCCTATCATCTCTCCAATGATCACAGAGGATATCAGTCACACCTGATGCTCAAGAGGGAAATTTGTGAATGCTGAAGGGGCAGAGCAGGTGCAACACTTACAGGAATGCGCAAATCAAAAAGACTTCTAACCAAAAATATAAATTCTGAGCTTGCTGAAATGCAAGGTGAATAAAATAAGCTTTTATAGCCCTGAATTCAACTACCAGTATAAAGGTGTATGCACATGCCTTAAAAAAATGTGGTTTTATCAGAAAACATATAGCTCTGATGTCTACTATTAGTACAAGGGCTCCTGCACACAGCAGTGAAAGACACTGAGTTTTTATTATGTTTCTCTTTTTGTTGTGGATCTGAACACAGGTATATTGCTATGAGCCCATGTACATGCCTGTATAAAGAAAGATCAATAGATCTGTGCTGCATTCTGATTTGTGAAAATAAAAAAATTATTTAAAAGATCTGCATTAGAGGCCCAGCATATGGGCTGTTTTTACACCGTACACACATTTCATGTGTACAGCATAAATGTAACCTATTGGAGTACAAAATATGCCTGCTTCCTAGCAACCAACAGGCTGTATTAATGCTCTAAGCATGTCAAACGTTGCTCAAATGTTACGTACAACACTATGGAGGATCTTCCAGTCATACAGCCATGTGTATGTATCCCAATAGAGCATGAAAAATCTACACCGACATAAGCAACTGGGGTACATTATTTCAGTGATGTAGAAACTGTAAGGCTTCATGCAGATGTGCAGTTGCGGGGACGGTAAAAATGTACTGTTGAGTTCATCTGCAAATATTGGGTTAAAACAGGCGGTGAGAAGGCGTCACATCGCTTCCTCACTTCCTGTCAGAAGCCTCTGAGGCACAATCAGAATCTGGATAGGGCTTTGAAGAAAAGAGATTTCAGCTGGGTACACACGGCCTGAATATTGGAACAAAAACCAACCGAAATTCAGACCATGTGTACAGCTGCCCTTCCGAAAGAAGCTGGTCTAAAGACCGGCTTTTGTTTAAAAGACATGCTTGAAAACCAGCATCTCATCAGCACTAGCAGCCAATGGCTGCATCTCCTTGTTAGAATGCAAAGGCACAGCAGGAGACATCACTGCACTAACATTGCCTGCTGGGTTGAAGAAAAAAAAAAATTAAAAGTGTGTAACAGGCTTTAGACACACATCTAAATCTGCCCCAAGAGATGATGAAAGCACTGAAGGAATGTCACTGAACTGGATTCAAACAGGTAACAAAACCAGTACAGGAATGTCAAAAGCACTGAATTCGACTACAGGTATGCATACTATAGTTCTGATATATTTAGCATATGGTACTTCTGGGCATGTGCCCAGGATCGAAGGGAGCTTCATTTAACTTTTTCTTTTTATATATATTTCTGCCACGCACAATCATCTTTCCACAACCAGCTGACTTTTGGTGCCAAGGTCTGCTCAACAGAACCTGATCTAACACATGCTTCTGCCGAATGGTGTTGCTTGAAAACCAGCATTTGGTCAGACTTGTAGTCAGAAAAACTGACAGATCCCTGCATCAACACGAAGGTACCACTGACACCCCAAACCTGTTCAACTAAACGTGTATACCTAAGCTTTACATTTTCAATTTTTTCTTATGAGTTATGGTTGTATTTATAGTTTCATTTGTTGGGTGGTTGATTGATAGCTACCTATATACAAGGGCAAAAACAAAAGGCTGAGTATTCCCTGACATTGTTCAATCGAAAGCATGTCAGGCACTCAGAACATCTTCCAGCTGTCAATTAAACTTTTTTGGGTTTTTTTTAGTACGACCAAGCATAGTATTGCAGCAGGTCCTAGTGTATATACAGGTGAAAATTAGAATATCGTGCAAAAGTTCATTTATTTCAGTAATGCAATTTAAAATGTGAAACTACCGTATATATGAGATAGACTCATTACATGCAAAGCAAGATAGTTCAAGCCGTGATTTGTCATAATTGTGATGATTATGGCTTGCAGTTCATGAAAACCCCAAATCCACAATCTCAGAAAATTAGAATATTGTGAAAAGGTGCAATATTCTCGGCTCAAAGTGTCCCACTATAATCAGCTAATTAAGCCATAACACCTGCAAAGAGTTCCTGAGCCTTTAAATGATCTCTCAGTCTGGTTCAGTAGGAATCACAATCATGGAAAAGACTGCTGACCTGACATTTGTGCAGAAAACCATCATTGACACCCTCCATAAGGAGGGAAAGACTCAAAAAGGTAATTGCAAAAGATGTTGGATGTTCCCAAAGTGCTGTATCAAAGCACATTAATAGAAAGTTATGTGGAAAAGTGTGTAAGTAAAGGTGCACAAGCACAATCAGGGATGACCGCAGCCTGGAGAGAATTGTCAGGAAAAGGCCATTCAAAAGTGTTGGGGACTTTCACAAGGAGTGGACTGAGGCTGGAGTCAGTGCATCAAGAGCCAGCACACACAGACGGATCCTGGACATGGGCTTCAAATGTCGTATTCCTCTTGTCAAGCTGCGCCTGAACAACAAACGTCAGAAGCGCCTTACCTGGGCTAAAGAAAAACAGGCTTACTGCGAAAGCTGAAGTTTAATTAATTTTTTTATTTGGGAGGAGTTATGTGTAATGTTGGGCATCCCATTACCTGCAGGTAGCCCTAGGTGGCTGTCTTCTGGTGCTCTGAAGGTTAACATGAGATGCTACAAAAGTTGAGGCGCCCACTTACCCACCCCCTCATGACCTCTTCACCATTAGAAGCAGCCCCCTGCAGGTAACAAGATACATTAGTGCAGGATCCCCCACACACACACACACACACCCACACACACACACACACACACACACACACACACCTCTTCAGCTTTTAATACAATAGAAATCACAAGTATCGCATATTACACATCTAATAGCATTGCACTAAAAGTGTCTTATAAAACTGCCTTATGATACATTTTGGGAGAAAATCCACACTGATCTTTTGTGGATGACCTTGCTCCAACCTGTTTTGCAGGACTCTGCAGTTACAGGTGGGAGTATTCTTAGATGTAAGTAGCAGATTTTTGGCTGGAATCAGTCAGTGGTTGGCAGCCTCTCAATCTATTCCAGCCATTGCTGTCCACATTCAATAACTTAAGTGTGTATGCCGAAACCCGACCTTCCAGGGAAACTTGCCAGAAACCAGAAGCTCTTAAAATAAGGTCCATTTGCTCATACAAACCTGCTGACAATATTAACTTCTCCAAAGCCGAACTGCTGCAGCTAGCAAGCAAAACCCACCCTTGCAGCTTACTTCTAGCTTTGTTCTTGGTGTACAATACATAATCATTGGAAACGTTTAAAGTGTAGTGCACTAAAAACATATAAAAATATGTGACAATCCAGTCACAGCTGATGAGCAATTTTATGACTTTCATAGAGTTCCATATATTTAATTCTATAGGGGTCCAGGAAAGTACAATGATTTTTTTTTTTTTTTTTTTTTAAAAAAGGCCTTTATGGGAAACCGTAAAAACGGCTTACCGTATTTTTCGCTCCATAAGACGCACTTTTTCCCCCCCAAAAAAGGGAGGAAAATGTCAGTGCGTCTTATGGAGCTAAAATGGAGAGGCCGGTCCGGTATTTCCGCCGCTGCCACGTCAGAATACCAGACCGGCCGCTCAGCTCTTCTCTCCTGCAGGACCTTACCTGTTCCTCTGTCCAGCGCTGTACAGTCTTCCTGTGCCGGCTTCTGTGACAGCCGGGTGCTTACTGCACATGTGCAAGAAACGCTGCACTTTGTGAATGCTCCGGCGACTTCTGGGACGACAGGTCCCAGAAGGCGCCGGGCCATTCATAAAGCGCAGCACTTCTCACGCATGCGCAGTGGGCACCCGGCTGTCACAGAAGCCGGCACGGGAAGAAGCCAGCGTGCCCACACTAAAGAAAGGACAACTTCAGGTACCCACTCCCCCTCCCTCCCCAAAGGTCCGCAGTCTCTGGTCACCTCCTGTGCTGTGTCCGCAGTCTCTGGTCACCTCCTGTGCTGTGTCCGCAGTCTCTGGTCACCTCCTGTGCTGTGTCCGCAGTCTCTGGTCACCTCCTGTGCTGTGTCCGCAGTCTCTGGTCACCTCCTGTGCTGTGTCCGCAGTCTCTGGTCACCTCCTGTGCTGTGTCCGCAGTCTCTGGTCATCTCCTGTACTGTGTCAGCAGTCTCTGGCCATCTCCTGTGTGTCCACAGTCCATTGGTTCAGAATATTTTTTTTCTTGTTTTTCACCACTAAAACCTAGGTGCGTCTTATGGTCAGGTGCGTCTTATGGAGCGTGAAATACAGTATTTTTAATTTGGGCTTACTGACATTTTCAATACAAAACAAGACAAAGACTCATTTAGATATGTGGAGCAACAGACACAAAGGGTATAAATCCATTGTGTTCACCAAACTTTGCAGACCCAGATCCTGGTAAAAAACTATGACAACATCAGTGAGCTGCACCTAGCCTGAACAGAGAGCACAGCTGTCTCCACATTACCTCCAACAAATATATCCTAATTACTACCATATGCAAATCCATTTTTTGTGGTTGCATATAGTATCTATGTCACAAGTATAAGTAGTGGAGCGCATGCAAATGTGCTTTAAATCTATTACATGAATGAATGGCATTTAAAATATGGCACATATCACTGACTAATCCGTGTAGAACAATGAATATATCAAGAAGCCACATGCATAATAAACTACATCAGAAGTGATGTTATCATATATGTAGGATACTCCTCACAACAAATCTTTAGTGAAGAATAAACCGTACTTACGCAGGAAGTGTTTTTCCAGTAAGGCAATTTCCAGATGCCCCTTAATCTCATTGAGTCGGTCAATTTCTGTCCGGTTAAATTCTGATACTCCAGATGCCATGATGATGGTCCCTGAACCAGCCTATAAAAGGAGTTACACAGAAAAAAAATTAACCATTGCAAATATATGAGGCAAACTGGCAAGTGAAATACAAACTCAGCTTGTGAGCCCAGTAAAAATTATCATCTTCCTCTGTATGCAGTCATGCAAAGCATAAAATAGTAACAACTGTTGTATTAAATATACTAGATCTGTCACATTTCCACAACAATGCTAGTAAATTATAAAGCAGCATTAACCTTATTTCTTGATCTGTGCTCAGAACACAAATCCTGTAGTATCAGATAAGACAGGAAAGTAGAACAGCAGCATTCTTGGAGATATGAACTAAATCAGAAAGCTTTTTTATACAGCTTGGAGAGTGAAAGAAATAGGACTCCACGGTGCACACAGGCACAGCCCAGTACTGTCAGCATTCCTGCAGCAGTAAAGGAAGCTGCAACATCACGGATGAGCTTATAGAAAAAAAAATATATAATGTTAGGGTGGGACCCAAGTGAGAGCACTGCAGTCCCTGGAGAACATCCCAGACTGGTCAGAATCTCACTGACATCTTCAGATATTGGTAATACCAAGTCCAGACAGAAACACCCCAGGATGAACTGGCTACACTACATTACGTATTACCTTTTTTTTATTACACATGAATTGCTTGCCTTCAAAAGCGAGGGAGTAAATCAGCCATTATAGTATGAACTAAAATGTATAAAGCCTCACCACAGGACAGTGATACACTATTTGAAAAGTACACTACACACTGAGATTTCATAAAACAAATGACATGTTAAGAGAAACACAAGCTGCTTCATCATTCATGCAGCTTATAGCCTGTCATTTACCTACTTACTACTCTGAGTGTGATGCGTGCAGCAGAAAACACCTAGGAATCCAGACATTAAGACGCTTAAGCCTGCACAGTGAATGAGCTTTTACATCAACTGACTAAATATTTACAAGCCAAGTACAACAGCGTCTGGCTCTATTCCACAATGAAATGCTGCACAGTGATTCAAACGTTACATTGTTTTCTTCTGAGCCACATAAAATCTGTTCCTTCTGCTCAAAAGCAAGAGATTGAATTGTGTCCCGCGAACATCCAATCCAATAAAAACAGACGGATCTAGCAGATCGGATCTGAGGGCAGTCGGGTGTACATGGACAGTCAGTCTGTTTACATTCGACTGCCCATAGAGGAGAGCGGGCTTTGTCTGCGTCTGCTCTGCATAAGCGAGGCAAACAAACACGGACCAGCCATCCACCTGTTCAGTGGGGATCAGCGGACAGATCCCCCACTGAGCAATCAGACTTGCTGAGGAGTCTTCCCCATGTGGAAGGGGCTTAAAAGTATCCAAAATGTACAAATATCAGTCATACAAAAACTACCAAATCGGCAAAAGTCTTTTATTATCTGGAATACTCTAAAATATTACCCACATGCTACAGGTCTCAGCAGATAATGGTTTATTTCACCATTTAGGCTGCCTTTACACTGCTCTGTTGCAGTAGAAACAGAGCAAACACACATTTTTGCCACGTTTTCTAGGTTGCTGACTTCCAAAATGCTCTTGGGAAATATGGACACGCAACAAAAAAATGCAACTGCGTTTTCCATTTATTTCAATGGGCAGCTGCGTTTTTGGCGCAGTTTTTGAAAACCACACCAAAAACTCAACTTTTTAAAACGCAACACACCCGCAGTACAGTGGTGTGAAGAGCCACACTGGATTTAAAGAAGTTATGTTTTTGTTGCATTTTCATAAGGTAAATATGCAGCAAAAACACATCAGTGTGAAAGCAACCTTAGCTGGGCACACACTTAAGAACCAGATGAAGTTTGCCGTGTGGGTGGCCCTGCCACCATCCTCTTCCCCAACATCTTTTAATTGGAAAATTTGAAGGAGCTGGCTGGAACATTGTTGGCCAACGACCACTCCATCCAAGCAGCCACTCTTCAGGTGTTGACAGCCGCCACTGGGGCAATATCCATGCTTTATAGTGTGGCTGGGAAAAACAGCTAGATTTTTCTCATGCCATCTATAGGATGAATGAAAATCTATTTACCATACTTTATAAGCCTCATGAGTATGCTAGCCTGCTGATGACGAGTGTTGGCAAAGCAAACCACAATGTTCATGTGGGATTTTGTTCAATCAACATTGCAAGGTATCTTAAGCCTCCTGCACACACAGGACAAATTTTTATCACCTATTCTGACCATTAGGAGTCCCACTGTCTTTGTCTATGGATGCAGCCAGCGGAGCTCAGGAGTGAGCCCGAACAAATACAGTGAAGGAAATAAGTATTTGACCCCCTGCTGATTTTGAATGTTTGCCCACTCACAAAGAAATGATCAGTCTAAAAATCGAATGGTAGGTGTATTGTAACACAGAGACAGAATAGCAACAAAAAATTCAAAAGAAATGCATGTCTAACAAATTATGCACTGATTTGCAGGTTCATGAGGGAAATAAGTATTTGATCCCGCCAATAATCAAAATAATTACATCAATTAGTTATACTTAAATATATGATTTGTGTAAATTGAATTAATTAATCAATGTGAAAAAACGAAAAATGAAGAATATAAGTAAAAATAAAAAAAAAAATAAAATAAAAATTAAAAAAAAAAAAATATCAAAAATATTTGCAGTGGGAATGACAGTTCCTTCTGTATAAATGAGATGGTTTTAATATTCAGTCTGGATAGTGTGATAAGTCTGTGTCCACTGTGTGAACCTCGCTCTCCTCTCTCCTCAGCACAGCCTTCTCAGTGACACTTTCTCCACTGGCTGCTTGGCTTAGTCCTCCATATATGGAACATACAGAGAAGGGAAAAGAAACATAGTGTCTTATCTGGGATTTCAATTGTTTATTGTGCTTAGATTTCCCACTCACGTTTTCAAAGACAAAGTAGCGCTTTACATGAAATGTATCCAGATCGTACTGTGATCAGCCTAGCAGATGTGTCTGCCTTCAATGAGTATACTCGCCGTTCCTCTGTGGATGCGTGATGACGTCACCGCCCCTCCCCTACGCGTTACGCTACAGGGACTCGTAGCTTCCTCTGGGGGATGTAGTAACAATTATTTTGATTACACTGTTCAACAGGTAAAAAGTTTTGGGCATAAAATAGCTAATCTTACATAATTTTGGGGTGCTGAAAACGAAAATGACCCTAAAAAATGTTGATTGGCTCTAGTTTCCATGATATATTCACCCATCTATGACGTAAGCCATTCAAAATTATGATGCAACTTCAGCTGCATATTGTGCAATTGATACTGGTGACCAATAGAAAATTGCATGTATACTGAGATGATGCAATATTAGCCTTTAATTGCATCACTTCACTGCATAAAAGCTGCAGTATCTGTAGCTGATTGTAGTTCGACAGCGTCTTTACATTTCGTTTTATGCTTATATAGGCTACTCAGTAATGCCTCGAACTTGTGTGAATAAAGCAGATAATTTCTGCTATATCTGCGGTGAAATAACTTTTATCTCACAAAAAAGGAGGATAACAGGAATGATTAAGAAAGCCTACAACTTTGTTTTGGCTGCAAGATAGGAGACCAGGACAAGAGCTGGGCACCACATATATGCTGCAATTCTTGTGGGACGGCACTGGAGCAATGGTTGAATGGAAAAAAGGCATCTATGCCTTTCGCTGTGCCAATGATTTGGAGAGAGCCAACAGATCATGTTAGTAATTGTTACTTTTGTATGGTGCCTCCAATTGTAAAAGGGCTAAATAAGAAGAAAAAGTTATCTGTGCACTATCCAAATATTCCATCGGCAATACGTCCAGTTCCTCATGGAGAGGGGCTACCAATTCCTCACACCAGAATCCTTCGTGGTTGAGTCAAGTGAGGGAGAGAACCTGAAGCGTGTAGTCACGTGCAGTTGTAAGAGATAGCCCTTTCACCTCGAATACAAGAGAAAAGCCAAGAGAAGCAAAACCACACAAACTGAAGACAAAACTAGTGAGAACCTAAGTATTAAAATGATTCAACTTGCAATGCCTATAATTTTTTTCTTGGTAATCCTATGCAATATATTATGCCATTTAGGCTTTTTTTATGTAGTCAATATCACTTGCTTATATTTTGGAAAGACATCTTCATTTTTGTCACATGTAGTCATTACGCCTATAGTAGAAAACTTTCCGTTTACAGAAAAACTAGAGCCAATTGACAAATTTCATTGTTTTATTTGAACTCAGAATGTGAAATTCAATAAGAAATGGATCCTTTTGTTTCCAAAACTGGCAAAAAATAAAAATTTGTTGAACAGTGTTATTGGTGGTACACTTATGAATTCACTATATCACATAAGGTAGAATATATTAGAGCGCGGTACACCACTGGCATTTTTGATTAACACTTATACACCTAGAGAGGGTGCGATCAGTACCTGGCGATCTAATATTTAATTAAGAGTAATTTTAGCACGTAATTAATTAATTAATTCGTAATTAATTGGTAATATTTTATTATTTATATATTTTTCACATATTTTTTACTATTGCTTATGCATGATATTAATTAACAATAGAGTTTATATATAGAAAGAAAACTCCTAGTGGCTCACAAGTAAACATCCAATTTTATTTAAGTATTTGATCCCCTTCACAAAACATGACTTAGTACTTGGTGGCAAATCCCTTGTTGGCAATCAGAGGTCAGCCATTTCCTGTAGTTGGCCACCAGGTTTGCATACATCTCAGGAGGGATTTTGGCCCACTCCTCTTGGCAGATCCTCACCAAGTCATTAAGGTTTGGTGGCTGATGTTTGGCAACTCGAACTTTCAGTTCCCTCCACAGATTTTCAATCAGATTAAGGTCTGGAGCCTGGCTAGGCCACTGCAGGACCTTAATGTGCTTCTTCTTGAGCCACTCCTTTGTTGCCTTGGCCGTGTGATTTGGGTCATTGTCATGCTGGAACACCCATCCACGACCCATTTTCAATGCCCTGGCTGAGGGAAGAAGGTTCTCACCCAAGAATTGACGGTACATTGCCCC